AAGTTTTATTTCTCAAAATTCTCGACAACACATACTCGTACTAATGCCATCCAAGTGAGAGAAAACAAAATCGTTCCATGTTCCTTATATTTACCTTCCAACACTGCTTTGTCTCCAACACTGAGGTTTTACTCTTTGTCCATGCAAGAAACAAAACTGTGTTCTGTCCCTAATTCTTCATTCCTTCATTACTCTATGTTTATCTCAGTATCAAATGCTTTCTCAACTAAATGCAACTAAACATGGAAGGTTTGCAAAGCCCTTAAGTGAATTATGTGATGTAATAAATAATTATTTCCTTCCTCCTTTAGAGCCAAAGAGGCACTAAGACCCTTAAAATGGACAAGACCCATTGTTAGGTGTCCAAGTCTGTCTAAGGCATTAGCAGGTCTGGCCTTGTATCACTATGATTAATGTTTGTTGCGTTCTTTGGGGAAAAAAAATAAAATGAAGAATTTTCTTACGTTTGATCAGAATGAACATAATTAAAAAGTGAAATGCTACTACTGAGTCTGAGGAGAAATCAATCACTTTAATTGGAAAGAAGATTCGTTGCCTCTGTTGGTAATTGGGCTCTTGGTAATTTAAAATCAGAATCCATGACAGTTTGTGATAAATTGGCTCCTTTTGGGCTGAAGAAGGTAAGAAGTTCTAATTACCCCTGGATTATTCCAGAGTAGATGGAAAAGCTTGATCAAAGAGATATCGAGAGAGAGAAAAGCTAGCAGTGAGCATAGAGTTATTGAATTTCTTTTTAAGAAGCTAAAGAGTAAAACAGTTCATTTGACATGACATAAACAAGAACTTGGAAATCCCAGATATGTAAATTGGATTTTCTAAGAAAATAGGAAACTAGGCATGTTAGAAAAAGTTTAGGTACACAAAAATTCTATAGTTAGGTTATAGAAATTAGCCTTACTTGTCAGCGCATGAGAATATTGACAACTTTGTACCTTACTTGGGGAAAAGTATAGATTTTGCACTTTGAGTGTTTAAATGTATAAGTAATTGGTTCTAAGTTTAAAGAAGTCCAAAATGTTTTATTCAAATGAAAACAATTTAGTAGACATGTAGACAGGGCCCTAATTATTGAATTGTTGACTGAGTCACTGTTGGTATCCTAGCCTTTGTCTCTATACCAATTGTCTAAGAAAACCTGAGGAATAAGCTGGATTTTAGGTTGATGCATTGGGTTGTAAACTTATTTTGAATCATGTATGTTTATTTTATATATCTGCGTAGATGTACATACAGATGAAATTGTAGGTATAGATACAATTTCAAATTTACAGAAAAGTTGCAAGATTAGTACAAAGAACTCATATACGCTTTACCTAGATTCACCAATTATTAACATTTAGCTTCATTTACTTTGGCATTCACTCTCTGTATATACATTTCTTTTTCTGAACCACTCAAGGGTAGTTGGAGACATTGTGCCCCTTTACCTCTAAACAATGATTTCCTGAGAACAATGATATTCTCTTACATAATCATAGCAGTTTTTAAACATTGATGTTATTGACAAATCTACAATCCATATTCAAATTTTGCCACTATTCCAGTAACATCTTTTATAGCTATTTTTTTTTTTATCCCAGGAACCAGTCCACAATCATGCAGTGCATTTAGTTCTCACATGTCTTTAGTCTAAATATGAGACAGTTCTTCAGCTTCTTGGTTCTTCACGTTATTGGCAGTATGTGGAGTATGGGCTAGTTGTTGCATAGAATGATCCCCAATCTGGGTTTGTCCTCTGTTTATTCATGATTGTTTCAGGTTATGCATTTTTGGCAAAGGGACCACAGAGGTTATATTGTATGCTTCTTGGTGCATCCTAACAGGAGGCACCTATTGTCTGTCTCATTGGTGTCTTGATTAAGGTGGTGTCCATGAGGTTTCTCCACTGTCAAATTATTTGTCTCTTTGTAGTTAATAAGTAATTTAAAAGAAAAATCTAAAATATCCGCAAAGGTATGCAAAAGGTACATCAAGAAGTCAAAAGCCAACAGTTGGAGGATATATAATCCAGGAGCCCTGAGAGTAAGAAATACGCTTTGAAAATGTGAATAGTACGGGCAAGTGTGCTTTTAGTGAACCAGGAAAGGAGGAAAAGAATATGATGGGGATATAGGAACCAACTTGTAGAATTTTCCTTCACTGTCCAGTCAGGTTTGTTTATTTCTCAATAATTTTAGTATCGCACCGCTTTGGCGACACAGACCTTTAATCTAATAGCAGGATCATGAACCACACAGCCTGATTATACTTTGAAAGATGTCATATAACGACCTAAAGCTGCTTCTGATCACTCTAGCCTAGCAAAATAGCTTTCAAGAGAAAAATAAAACCTTGGCTTGCATCAAGCAAGCCAAGTAAAAAGCCAAAGGCATCTTAAGCACCTGAGAAGTGAAACTTAAGCCTGAAATATAAGAAATGTAAAAAGTTATAGGTTATTCTAGGGGGAAGGGAATAATTATCCAGCAGAGAAAAAGGCGGCTAGAAGCTGAATCATTCCTTCCTGTTTCCTTCCCCTACTCAAACCATAGATCCATTAGGTTGAAAGTCTCGGGGTTGAAGCAAAAATCTTCAGAAGTTCTTGGGAAATGACAGGTGAGCAGGTGAATAACCTCAGGTAGCAAGTGTTCTGCTATAAAATGCAGTGGGGAAGATACTTCTGAATTTCTGATGCATTTAAATCTAGGGCAGTCTTAATACATTTTCTAAAGAAATATGTTCAAATTAAGGCTCTAGTTGACTGTCACCGGGTCACTTCTCTCATTAAGCTGTGTCCAATTCTTCCAGCAGCACATTAGTCAGAACTTTATTCAGTATTTTCCATGAGCAAGGTTCTTATGGATACAAGAGCAAGCCAAAAATAATCAAGGTATTAAATCGATTAGGATTTTGTTGGTCACAGTAGGGAAAACTTGATCCAAGCTGACTAAAGGGGGAGAAAAAAAGAGAATTTATTGGTTGATTGGTTGATATAACTGAAAAGTCCCCAAAGCAGGGCCAGCCCAGGTGTGGTTTGCTCCAGAGGCCCAATATATATAGCCTTTGGGTCTACCTTTCTCAGACTCCACACCTTTGCCCTCCTTTAAGTTGTGTTTCACAATAACCACCATGGTGACATTGTCTCTTCAGAATAGCTCTATGTCTCTGCCTTCTTAGCCAGAGTGCTCAGGCTCACTCTATTTGAGCTGCCCCAGGTCAGGTTTT